TAGTCTAATTTGTCGTTTTGCCGACTTATTTATTACACGGCATGGTTAACGCTCCTCCGAGCAAAATTCCTGTGAAAATTTTAAGACAGTGTTAGAAGCATAACCTTGTTTGAAGTCAAAATTCACATCAGGGTGGACAATACAAGGAGGAAGGATGTCTGTGTCCTGGTTACTGTCCTATTAACAGGTCATAATTCAGGTATAAAGATTTTGGAAGCGCAACAAATTACACAGACTATAGAACTAATGGGTGCTTATCATTCGTTCAATGTCACCCGTTTTTTTCATAAATCAAGTCGGTGGTTAAATCATTCAAAAGAGAGAAAAAAGCGTATTAAACTAGACGAACGCTCAATACAGGCGATGACGTCACGTTTGCGCATCCCCGCGAACAGGGCTTCAATCTACGGCATGGCTTCAACCTACGGCACAACACCGGGGCTTAGCCCCGGACAGCCCCGGCCCAATTTAACCCCTGGGTATTTGTGAGGGAGCTCCTATATGGCATTACCCCGCTGAAGCTCACCAAAGTTTAATATATTTCATAGTTCAAAGTTTTGTCAATTGTTTTGTTTATTGGTCAAATACTGGTTTCTAATGGTTTCTGAGGAGTTTTACTGGAATGAAAGAGCCAGAGTCTACAGAAGCAACAAAGCAGCATACTGCATTAAACCTGACCTTCACAGAGAGGTTGAAGTTCATGTGGAGAGGAGGCTTCAGTAGTCTGTCTGCACTCTGTTTAGTTTTGCTATCTTACAATCAATATAGTCAATGTGAGGTAAAGTGTGTCGCCAATGTAACCGGTTAGAACTCAAAGTTGCGATGAGGTCTTAAAATGTATGGAAAGGGTCTTAAAAAAGGTCTTAAAAGGTATTAAATTTGACCTCAGGATTTCTGCATATACCCTGTTTAAAGGTTGTATCTTCCTGGTCGAATGTACATATTGTAAGTCGTTTTGGATAAAAGCGTCAGCTAAATGCAATGCAATGCAATGTTTTAGTGTCAGAGCAGTATTTTGATTGTTTAACTTTTTCTACTTGCCATCCTTAGTTGCCTCGCAGTGCCTCTCGATACGTCTAGACTGATGTATTGGTGTGTGAGCTGACAGTCTGGTCCCTGCGCTCTGTTTCTCTCATTATTTCCTGAGTTTATTTTCTCAAGATCTCCCTCTCCTTGTCATTTTTTCATTTTTGTTGTTGCCACTGGAATGAAATATCATAAAGTAAATGCTGTCTGGACTGTGCTTCCCCTGGCATGGTGGGTACATCACGGCAGTTCATATCTCCATGGCAACAGCTGCTCTGGTGAAAAGGGGTTGCCGCTGTCTGGACATTGTGCTCCTGTCGTCTCGTAAGGCATGAAGCATTCGTTTCACTATAATCTTGCTCTTAAAGCATAATCCAGAACTGTACGGCACCTTACAAATGATTCAATCCCTTTAAATGTACTGGGGCCCGGTATTATAAAAACAAATCTCCTAGATCAGTGCTAATTTGTTTCGGCTAAGCGATATTTATCTTTATATAACTGTACATACTTCAACCATCTCCAAACTCATGTCTTGGGTTCTCTTGGAGCAAATAAGTGTTTTTTCAGTTCAGGTTAATCTACTGTTAATCAGACGAATGAACACTTTTCAAAATCTCATTATTTTTGGTTTACTGAACCTTGCACCCGGGCTGAGGTTGAAGGAATCCAACCCTCTACTTCCAAATAATGGAATAGTGGAAAGTATTGTATCAGTCCTTGTGACCAAGATGTGTTACTACTCTGCAATTCTTTCGTCTGGTTTCAGATTGGTCACAATGATACTGCTGCCTCAACATAAAAAAAAAAGCTCTGTGTCACCTAGGGTGTGTGAGTGAGCATGCACGTCTCTCCCAGCCTCAGTTGTGACGCTGCAGTCCCTCCGGTGTCGGCAGCAGCAGTGCAGACACTTGCCGTTCTGAATACTGATTTCCTCTGGATGTCTACAACTGCAAGCCTAGCCGCCGTCGTGCTTTTTTACATTCAAGCTGAGCAGCGTAGTGTTGTAGCGCGTTGTGTAACGCAGTGTAGTAGGGTGCATTCGAGGTGAGCGCGGCAGCTATGCAGCGAGAGGGGAAGGAGAGGGGAAGGAGAGGGGAAGGAGGGCGGGATTGAGGCGACAGAGAGGTGCATAGATTTGGGCAGAGAGAAAGAGAGTGTGAGAGCATCCCTAACTGCCGCTGTTGCTATTTATAGCCGAGCTCTACTCCACAGTCCTGAGATGCTCTCCCACATATAGACAAACCAGCCTACACACACCAAAGAATTTGACATGCAGAAACAAAGCAAGCAAAGAAAGCTAGACATTACTATCTGCTCATAAAAAGATCTATGAATGGATGAGATCTCTGAGGGGTATTTGTATGGCAATCAAGGTCAGCTATTGCTTCATCAAGAGCTCTGCAATAATTCATCCTGTTTATCAGAGAGTGTTAGCAATAGGAAGAGGAACTGGGGGTGGGAGCATTGGTCCTCACAAGCACTTGTTTGTCTTGTCAGATTGTATGAAAGGGGAGAGAGGGAGCAGCAGAGGACGAGAAATATAAATCTGTCTTTCATTTTTTGTTTCTCTTGTTTAGTTTTCTCTTTTCACTTCCTTCCAGGCTGAGTCACTACTGGTGAGGAGGAAGGTCTGGAGAGGGAACGAGAGAGGAGGTGGAGGAGGAGGAGGAGGGGGAGAAGAAGAAGAAGAAGAAGGCAGGGAGATAAGCAACAACAGGAAGCAAAGCGACACACACACACACACACCTCGTGTTTGTGTGCCTGAGAGAGAGACTGCGCGATCGAGAGGGTGAACAGGAAAGGAAGGGAGGGAGAGTGACGCGGAGGCTGGGAGAGCCGCCCCCCCCTCCTCCTCCTCTACTCCTCTCTCCTCTTCTCCTCCCCTCCTCCCTCTCTCTCTCTCTGTGGAGCAGGCGTGTAGCGGCATCACACTCGGCGTGAAGGAACCATGAGCGATGTCACCATCGTTAGAGAGGGATGGCTCCAAAAACGGGGTGAGTACATCCAGTACCTCTCTTCTTCTTCTTTGCTCCCCTCCTCTCTACCTCTCTTCTTCTGCCTCTCGTCTAGACTGAGGGCCCGGCCGTGCCTGTCCACATGTGCCAGTGGGAGGATGTGAGTGTTTGCGATTGAGTGTGTGTGTGTGTGTGTGTGTGTGTGTGTGTGTGTGTGTGATTACATGGATGTCTGATGCTCTAGTGTACGAGTGTATATGCTTTCCCCCCCCAGGGATGTGTCTTTTTTACTACAAGCTTGGCTGGCTGTGTTTGTGTTAAGCCTCTGTGTGCTTCAGGCAGGTTGTGTCTGAAAAAGAGTGTGTGTGTGTGTGTGTGTGTGTGTGTGTGTGTGTGTGTGTGTGTGTGTGTGTCTGTCTGTGTGTGGGGAGCAGGGTCGGGATGCTGACTCACTGTCCAGGTTGTGATACAGCAAACGCTGCAGTCACAGTCTTTAGACAGCTTTTTACTGAAAGGAGAGAGAGAGAGAGAGAGAGAGAGAGAGAAAGGGGGTGAACCTTTTTGTAATTGTACGATAACATTTTGTTATTTTTGTGACTCTTTGGAGAGTCCTACTTTCTAACACTTTCATCAAACAATAGACATAGGTTTGTTTTGAATTGAGTGACAGGATAACGGTGACCATAAGACTGAATGAGTGGAAGATTAGAAAGTAAAACTGGTAAAAAGTTCAACAGAACTCTGTACTTCTTAGAAGGCTTTAAAATAAACAAATGATAAAGATTGTGCCTGAGGAGTACCTTAGCTGCTGACCTGTTGTTTATTGTTTGTTTATAAAACCATGCAGTTTAGATGAATAGTGATGTATCCTTTTTTGTGTTAGTTATGGGATAAGTTGAGCTAATAAATAATCGTCTCTTTAAGTACGCAGGTAAATGCTTGTCAGAACAGGTTGTGTTTTGGTATTCTTATAATTAATCATGTTATGTTAGACTAATTGGTTACATGCGTTACATACGATATGCCTCCAATATTCTGTTGCTGGAAAAAAAGTTATTTAACGATTCTTTGTTGTAAATAGTTTTTCTGCTCTCATTTCTACTCAAGCAGGGTTTTTCTTAAAGTTAGCAGTCTGGTCAAGCATTTGGTAATACCTTTTTACTAACTTTAGTAAGAATGATTATAAGATTTATATCGACATTGTCGTACGTTTTATTCTAAGGGCAACACTTATGGTTATGGTCTGGCAGTTAAGGATTCATGGTCGACCCCTTTATCAAAGTTACAGCACACGTTTAGGTGTGAAATATGCAGACGGGTTTTTTATGGTGTTGTTCTTTAACGAAATTACACCAAGTTCATCCTACAAAGGGCTGAGTTTATTTCACCGTAAGTTGACCAGAATGAGTAATTCATAGTGAGTATAGTTGAGGTTTTTTCACTTTCTATTTGATACTCTTTTACCTTTTTCTTTTTACTCTTATCTTTTGTGGTCTGGCTAATGGGTTCGGTAATAAAGTGGAATGATTGATTGATTGAAAGTGTTTCCTCGTTCAAAGCACACAGTATCGGTGATGAGTTCTTGCTCATGAACCCTCATGGGGATGCTTGCCTCTACATGTTTTATGAAGGGACTGACAGTGTGCATCTGTGAGTGTGTAGCTTTTGTTCGACAAGCCACTAACCATTAGAATAATTGGTCAAACATGACAGATGTGTACAGCAAAATGTAACACGCTCGAGACTCAATGGTCAATTTACACATGTCAGAGGATGCTGATCACTAGCAGCGGTGTGTATTTGCATTGTTTTCAATAAGCATGTCGTGCAGCACCAGCTTCAGGAGTATGTTAGACTGTCAGTAGGGAATATCACACAGAATGGAAAGGAAGTAAAAGAGGCTTTCCTTACATCAATGGTTTAAAGCGTTTAATGTGTTGAGAGCGATAAGAGATAAAACACAGAATCATCACGAATGAAAGAAAATAATTAGCATAAGAGAAGAAAAATTAATGCTTGTAACAAATATAATGGATGTCTCTGTGAATTCTAAGCTTTCCTATCAGCACACCATCTTGAGACAAACCTCAGGAACATCTTTTCAGAGTACAGTACACAATGTCCTCAGATGACCGTGCCTCTCAGTACTCACATGCTCACTGCCATGGCGATGAATTTCCTTCCTCCTTTCATTAAACCAGAATGAGGTGTGCTTTCGGCTGCATCTCTTCTTTATCTTTGGAGGTAATGAACAGTGGATAGATACATGTTGTACCAGAGTGATTATGGTATAAAGGAAAATATCAAAAATAGGGCTGCAACACATGATTATTTTCCAAATTCATAAACTATCAAATGTCAGGAAAACTGTGAAAAAATGTCCATCCCAGATATTGCAATGTGAGGTTTTAAAATGTCTTGTTCGTCAGCCAAAAAACCCAAAGATATATGAACTATTATAAGGAGGAGGGGGCGGCTCTATTTAAAATATGATATGAAACAGAAATCCATATTTGAGACACTGAAAACAGCATTGATTGCCATATTTGGAAATGAATTGTAAGGATCAATCGATTATAAAAATGGTAGCAGATCTATATTTCTATGGATTGAGTAATCGTTGCAGATTTGCTTGAGAACATTCTGTTCTTAATGATAAAGACTGAGTGAAAGAGAAATCCAGGGCACAGGTGTGAGCTACAGGTGTAGCCTTGGACAACATGGTCTTGTTTTAAATGTTATCTGGCAGTGAAAATCAGATGTGGCTCTCAGAACTCACAAGGCAGTTCTTTTTTTAAAACTTCACTTCATTTCCGCCAGGCCAGTAGTTCACCTTCTGTCGGCCCATGTGAGGCCACGGAGGTCACAGTCAGACACTGTATTCGAGGAAACTGTTACCTCCAGCAGCATCAGGGCAACAGATGGCCAGCAGCGAGGAGACACGGGGAGAACACCATCATATTTTCTTTGACAATGTCTGTTCTCCGGAAGTCTTTCTTTCTGAATAATCTAAGATCAATGAGTCTTTGTTTCCCTGGAGGGATTACTCTATCGTACAATTTGCACATAAGAGGAAGTCAAGAGGAAGTTCCACATCCATTCACAATACACAGTATATTCTTAATTGAAGACAAATATTACTAAGCTTCTGTGCTTGAGTCTCAAGGCTTAGAGAACAGATTGATGAAATACTATGTTCAAGTGTTTTGTTCTTAAATTGCAGAAAAATTACAAGTTTGGTTGTTGGTCACATCGACACTGACATGTATTATACATGTCGCAGTGCGAAAATACAATGCTGCATCCTACCCATTAACTTCCATATTCTGCATGTCTTCCTGTTTTTTTCAAATCTCCACATTCCACTCTTGCTCCTTTTATATGTGTGCATTGTTTGTTTGCAAATCACATCACATCTATCATATGCAGGATTGTGATTAGTTTTGGTCTTTTCCACGATGGAAACAGTCGCGAAGATATTCAAAGTCTGACTTTATGAATATCCATGTGAGTGTCTGAACCTGTCATGCATCTCTGCAAAGTAACACACCTGCCGCCCTTTCTTTAAATATTATGTTCTCTCCTCTTCATCTCTACACTTTTAAGAATGTATGGGATGTACTGTATACGTTGGACTGCTGTTGTGGGGTTCATTGGGTGCAGTGCAGTCAGGCAGCCATCTTTGCTCAGTGAGTTCAGTGGGTTCAGTGTGCTGGAGGCTGGCTGGCTGGATCAGGTGGCAGTGCCAGATCCCTGATATCAATCACCAGCCGCCGCTGCTGCTGCTGCTGCTGCCGCCACTGTCTGCTGTGTCGCCCTTCTCCTCTCCTCTTCCTCCTCTCCTCTTCCTCCTCCATCCTGCCTCTGCTGTAGAGCCTGTCAACACAACTCACCCCTTTTTATTGCAATTCACACTCTCTTTCCCTCTCAGTCTACGCATGTATCTCCTTCCATCTCCCTGCTCTCCTCTCTCCATCCCCTCTGTTTCTCAAACTCTCATGTATATACAGGGCAATAACAGCCAGGCAGCAGACAGTACAGGCTTTGTTATGAATGGCATCCTCTTGCACATCCGGAGGAAGTGTACGCTCCAGTGTGGCTTTACAAACTGTTTCCATTGTCCTCAGAATGACTCACTCTACACTGCAGAGAATGGCAGTCAGCCAGACAGTCAGACAGACAGCACAGCGCAAACAGACAGACTAGTCTGCAGACAAACAGCAGAGGAAAGACAGGCAGAGGGACGGATAGTTTGTGACAGATACAGACAGAATAGACGCCCAATCAGAAGAGACCTGCAACCTGCAGGTACACACGCACAATGAAAGACAGATGGGTCACATACACAGACAGGCAGCAGAGAGAGGGTCACCTCTGTATTCAGTAGGAATATGATATTTTATTTAGCAAAATAATTGAGTACAAAATTAGACAATATCCTAGAAATAAAGTTAAAAAAGTGATACTCTACCGGCAAGACTGTTTTATAGAAATGTGCACATCTTATCTGATGCCATCATTAATATGTGCTGCAACAGAGAAGAATGTCCACTACAAGTGTCCTATGTCCTATGAGTTTTTTGTTTTTTTTAATGGTTTATTTGAACCGGGACAGTGCACATCGATGAACACAAACAAAACAATGCTTACAAGCGTAAATGAGCCGGATTTTAGCTTTAAGCTAATTTCCATCCGCAATCCCCTCACATTCAAAATACAAGAACATGACATTTATATACATAGCAAAAATAAATACATGACATGCAGAAAGAGCATGAGCAGCATACAAGCATTTACCACATGGCAGTACAATGTAGCAGCTATGGTATACAAAGTGCAAGATATGATAAAAGTGCAAGAGGAGATAAAAGTGCTACCTAAAGTGCAAGAGGAGATAATATATTGTAGGGCCATACCTATATAAGGTATATTTATACGTTTTCTTTTTCAAAATACCAAACAGATAATGCATTTGAGCCATGCCTCATTTCGCTCTATTTTGCTCTCATCCACCCTGTCTTTGCATGCGCTGCAGCTGA